TCTCTCGACAACGTATGGTAGATAAAATTGAGCATAATAAGAACCCAATAGCATACCGTAGATAATAACATAACGAATCCAAATGCTTGGGCTGTTCTAATAACGAGAATAACGAACGACTGGAATCATTTAAAGGTTGTGACTGGAAATTTCCGGCGTCAAAGAAGAATGTAAAGTTACCTTCGGATCAATTTCATTTTTCCGAAAATATTCCTCGACTCTCTAAAATGTGGATCAAAGGAATTTAAATAGGCAGATCAAAAAGTATCAGAATATAATGTAAAATCGAATATATACCTTCTTTAATGTGCGATGAAATTCGCTTTGTTCCGGGAAAGTCGGTAATTCATTAGATACAAGAGTTCCAATAAAATATTTTCTATCAGAGAAACAAAATTTTAATGAATTAACACTAGTTACTGGAAAGCTACAATATCGAAAAAATTTCTTACTTGAGGATGATATCAGGTTTCCCAAGTTCGTGGTATGTCTCAAATGCCTATTCCCAAAGTCGGATCAGAAAAACCTGCAAGCATTTCATATGCGAACAATTTATTTCGGAATTTACCTGAGTAACATCTCTCCCTGCGGCAAACAACAAAATATCCTCACCGCCCGGATGATTTTTTATGAAATTTGTGATATCATAGACATTTCCACGAACAGCAACATAGGCGTCGTCACGTGTATTGTGCTTGGCTAGCTCTTCCCATGTAAATTTTTTACCTGGGCGCTGGGCATCGATCCTATCAGTTATACCACGCATCTATCAACAAGCAAAACAACGAATGACTTAAACGATAAAAATTTGCGCGAAAAACATGAATATTTTTTTTATCAATACTGGGTTTTTTTTGATGGATTAAGAAGGTCGGATAAATACAAATAAATCATCATCGAATTTTATTTTTACCTTTTTTCGAATAAGACGTTTAATGAAAGAATGATATATGGAAATTTCACCGTGTTCCAATGAGGTCTTTTTCGAGATGAGATTTTGAGCATCTTATATACGAGTAACAAAAAAAAAATTATATACTACAAACATATAAAAAAAAAAAAGGGTTTTTTATTTCCATTTTTAAGCATACACTCAAATACTGTTTGTTTAGATAATAGTACAAACTCAGTTTTTTAATTTTAAAGCTGCAACAGTCGACAGTTGTGGTGCTTGGGTCAACCTTACTGGTTAATGGCTTTACATTTATGTTTATGATAGTGTATACTCAATTTGTTACGATAATCAATTCACAAACGTGAAAGCAAGTTAATCGGGAATTTGTCACTATCATTGTGACAGACCACTTATTTTCTTTTAGATAGTACAACATCAATCAAAGTAATTAATTGTCAAGTTTGTAAGGCTTGTTCCTTTGATTTTGTTGTAAATCTTATTATTTGACTAAAAGGAAAGAATCGTAAATATAATATTGTCATTGCAAAAACAATATCAATCGAACTTGGCAAGTACCTTACGCATGATAAAGTATGATGAAAATGCTGACATTGATTTTGTTTATCAAGTTCTTAAACTGCTATATTAATTAGTATCAGCAGTTTGCATTAAGACAATTTGATTTTTTAAGGAAAAAATTGTAAATAAAATAGTTAATATGTATATTATTATAAAATAAATAATAATCTTTCTTTCTTTAGAATAAATTTTTTGTATTTTTATAAGTGAATACAAAAGAAACTTATATATAAAGTCAAAGACAAAAATATTCTGATAGAAAAAAAAATAATAAAATATTTTGATAAAAAAAAAATAATAATAAAATACTTTTTTTTTATTTTTTTAAATTTATAAAAAATTTTGCTTATTTTAATTTGACTTTAAAATTTTTTATTACACTTGAATTTCAAATAATAAATAATAAAAAATTTGATATATATAATTAATTATAACAAAAAAAATATTAAGATTTTTAAAAATACCATTTTAAAATTAGTTCAAAATTTAAATTTATTATAAATTTATATAAGTAAATTATAACTTCTATATTAAATTTACAATAAATTAATATTATTTTGATATTATTTTAATATTAATTTTAATATTAAGATATTTATTTTGTTTAAAGTAATTTAATATATATTTTTTGTTTTTTTATTTTATATTAATTTTTTTTTAAAAAAAAAATAATACAAAAGTTATATTCAAATTTAATAATAAATGTTTTTATTATTTGTTATTTTAAAAATATATTTAAGTAATAAAATTATATTAGGAAAAAAAACCTTTTCCCACAACTCTTCAATTCATAAAAAATTTTCTTTTTTGATAATGACATGAATAGTAAACAGTAAATAGTAAGCAAAAATAATTTTTTGAAAGAGGAGTTCATCTTAGCTTTCTGTAAGATACAAGGAATTAATTAACTCTCTATAGAGGAGTGGATACTTTGGGAGTGACAAAAACCTCTTTGATTAAATCCTTTGCTTTACTGAGTAAAACTTATATAAGCAATCTCCAAATAAAGAAAAATCTTTTTATTATATATATATTATTATCTATCATATTACAAAAAACATATATAAAATCAAATACAATTTTCTTCTCAAGAAACAGCATTTTATTTTTTTAGAATTTTTGTTTTCTGCTGATAATAACTAATACCAAATTAATTGGCATAACCTTTTGGCTAGTTATCAGTTCTTACCTACTTTCATATACAAAAAAATCAAAATCAGCTTACTCCTACCAAAAGATTCACAACACATAAAACATCAATGATATTCTATATTACCAAACCATATCAAAACAATACAATAACTTACCAGATTGGAAGAGTGTGTGATCAGTGTCCTGCATAGATTTTAATAAAAACAACACATTATATTTACTAAACAAAAACAACAAACATTTAAAATGTAAAAGTTTTAATTACTCCATTACCAACATCACAACTTAATCAAATTATACTATAACAATATATCTCAAAAATCCATTGAGTTAACTGTGGCTTGCATAACACCAATGACTGATTGAAACAACTAATTGCATTTAGAAATCATATTTAACAAAAGCTACAATACTATCTTCAATTTTTTTTTTTTTCAAATTTCATTACTTTATAATAATCTTGTCTCAAATGTTTTTTTATCTTTTATTTTTTATATAACAGATAGTTCCTTAAGTTTTTTTTGCTCAAAGATTTTTCAGATGATATATCTGTTAAATAGGTAATAGGTTAATATCTATAATAATATAACTTATAGGCTCAATATTAATCATATAACAATTTTACTATATTAATAAAGATAATAAATATGCTTTCTTTTAACAGTAAAAAAAAAAAAAATTATATTAGAACTTTGAAAAATATTAAACTGATATTAAAATTATATCAAAATAATATTAGTTTATAATAAATTTAATATATGAATTGTAATTTACTTATATAAATTTATAAAAATTTAAGTATTAAACTTGTATCAAAATAATAAAATAATATAATTAGAAGCCTTAAATTATATAATATAAATAATAATAGATTTTATTATAAATATTTTTTAATAATAATAAAATAAAAATACAAAAACTTTTTTTTATTTTCTTCTTTATACTTAAAAATTTTCTAAAAATAAAATTTTTAAATTGATTACTTTTTTTTTATTTTCTTCTTTTTTTTTTTTTTTCCTTCATCATATCTTTTTATTTCTTTTTTTTTATTTTTTCTTTTTTATATACTTTTTTATACTTTATATCTTTCTGTTTCTTTTTTTTTTATTAAAACTAAATTTTTTTTTTTTTTAAATATTTTTCTTTTTAGATTTTTTTTCTTTTAAAATTTTTTCTTTTTATAATGTTACTTTTTTAATTAGTTAATTTTTTTTTTAAGAATTATATTAAGAAATAATAATTTATTTTTCTAAAATATTTATATAGTTATTATTATTAAACTTGATTTTTTTTTTTTAATTCCGCAATCAGATTGGTGTTTTTTATTTATTTAATCATAAACAACCATTACAAGTTGAAAATCCGTGTTAAG